GTTTAATTAAGACTCTGTGATTAGTCATTTAATCAGTCATTAGGCCAACACAGATGGAGCCAATTAATATTTGTACTTGAATAGGTAGCTGGTGCTCACAGCCCCAGCCTCTCCACACAGGTCGCGGGTGACCGCCGAGCGCCTGTCCAGGGCAGGCCGCGGTCCCTAGTGGCGTGCCGGCACCCTGGGCTCCTCACCCAGCCCACCAGGACGGCCGCGCACGCACACACGCCCACCCCCACCCGGTCCCTGAGTGCACGGCCGCCTTGGGGGTGGGGTGAGCCATCACTGGTCAGGACCCCATACGCTCTGGGCAGGAGTCACTGGGTCAGCAGGTTCCAAAGAGGACGAGCTCAGGGATGGCCTGTCCTTTGGGGCACAGGTGGCAACTTCTGTGGCCACAGCCCAGGGACTGCCTGCCTCCCCCAGGACCCACAGGCCTCCTACAGCACGGTCACCTCTGAGGACCAATTCTGAGTGTCCACCCCCCACCCCTCCGCCCTCTCCGGCTCACCTGTGCCCCCACCTGGGTTCTGCACACGGTGCCACAGGCCTTTGGCACGTGCCAGCCCCTCGGCTGGGAGTGTGGTCCCGGCTGCGGGCGGCCCTGCCGCTGGGCAGTGTCCTGGCGAGTCGCAGGCCTACAGGGAGGTGGACTTATCTCCGGCTGGCCTGGGAGAGGTCCTGGGACGACAGGAGACCACGCAGAGGAGCAGGGGGGACAGGAGGCAGCCAGAGGGCATGACATGGAGTTGAAGTCCCAGGGCCGATGTCCCCGGGGCTCCCTCAACTGGCCATGGACCCTCGCAGGGTGGGCTCAGCCCCTGCCTCCCTGTCCCTCGGCTGGAAGCCCCTCCGGGTGGGTGTCCAGGGAAAACAAGAGGAGGGACGGACGGGTGCTTGAGTTCTTTAGAACTTTTAAAGGTCGAAAAATGAGCCCTCGCAGCCCCAATGGCCACAGCGCGCGGAGCAGGTGTGAGGGCGGGAGCAGCTGGCCGCCCCAACCCCCCTGCACAGCGGGTGCCTCCCGGCTGATGCAGGGCTGGGCCGGGCCTGCCACAGGGAGGCTGGGGGCCTGCCGTCACGCGCCCATGCTGCGGCTCCCCGGACACCACTCACGGCCCCTTGGCAGGCACCCACAAACAGGGAACACCCTGCAGGCTTTCCAGGGCCTGGCACCCACTGCCCACGGGGTCAGGGCCCCTCAGTGGTGCTGGCCCCTCGCCCCAGGCCAGGGCTGGGGGTTCTTTAAGCCCTGTGCACCTCCTGGCCCCTTGCAGGTGGGGGCCTCCCTCAGAGGGGCACATGGCAGTGTGGCCCCCAGGACCCCTGGAGCCTGGGTAAGGAGAGGCCTCCCGGGTGCCCCAGGGGCAGAGGACCCTCCACAGATGGCTGAGGCCCCTGGGGAGAGGCTGTGGGCTGCCACCTACCAAGCCCCTGGCCCCGTGGCTCCTTCGGGGTCCCGGGGCAGCGACAGCTTCCAGCGTGGCCCCAGGCGAGGGCCAGCCGTGCTCCAGCCCTTCCCGGCCTCTGATTGGGGAGCTTTCTTACGGGCTCCGTGAGGGCCGCAGGAGGCCCTGGGCTCGCAGCCACGTGGGCCTGACAGTCTTCCTGAGCTGTGCTCCCCAGGCCTGCAAGTCTGCCGGAGGCCGCAGGGGGTGCCCACTCGGCGGGGGCAGAAACCCCTGCCCCAGGATCCTGCGCCTGGATCCAGACCCCCCGGCGGCCCTCCCCTGGCCAGGCCCCGCGCAGAAGCCCCGAGAGCCACCCGCCAGGCAGCCTGGCGCCGCCCCCACACCCAGCCCTGGCCGCAGACCACCACCTTAGCAACGGGTCTGCTGGGGGTCAGGTGTCTCGTGCTCTTCAGGGCGGACCTGCCATGCACCCGTCCTAGGGGCGGTGGCATCGGGAGGGCCCGTCGAGGTCGGCCAGCTCTAAGGGGTGCTTGGGGCCTCGGGAAAGGAGAAGGCCAGGGGGTCATGGGGACACCTGCCCCCAAGGGCAGCTGTCTGGGCCGGTGCGTCCCTCGGGTAGCTGAGCACCTAGTGGGAACCAGCAGGGCCACCCCCCTTCCACTTGAGAGGAACCCCTCTCCCGGCACCAGCCTGGCTGCATGTCCCAGTGGGGCAGGCAGAGGGCACAGGCATGGGGGGGGGCCCGTGGTGGGAGCCTCACGCAGTGACCACGCTGGGCCAGGCCCATCTCACAGGGACACAGCAGCTGGACGAGATGCCACCTGGGGCCTTGGAAGGCCCACCCGGGCTGCAGGCGCACAGGTGGGCAGGGCGGGAGCCCCCCTCCAGGGCAGCTCCAAGCGTGAGGGTGCCGTCCGGGCACACGTCTTGGTTTGGTCTCTGAGATGGGGAGCAAGGGCTGGACTTGCCCTCCCTCAGGCAGACAGTGGAAACGTGGACAGCAGGTGACGCAGGGGGGAGCCCCGAGAGGTGGGAGCCCCCGCTGTGAGCCCCCCCTCCGGCTGCCCTGCCCTCTGCCTCGGGGAGCCCAGCTGTGGCACAGGGAGGGCACCAGGCAGGGTCAGGGGCCCGCAGGGGAGAGGAGGGGCTGGGAGTCCTGGCGCCACGGTGGGCGAGGCCATAGGACGGAGCTGGAGCGGGGAGAGCCCTGGAGTCTGCAGAGCGTGATCAGCGTGTGTGTGTGCGGGCGCGTGTGCATGCGTGCGTGGGCACGTGTGCATGTGTGTGCGGGCACGTGTGCATGCGTGTGTGTGGGCACGTGTGCATGTGTGTGCGGGCACGTGTGCATGCGTGTGTGTGGGCACGTGTGCATGTGTGTGCGGGCACGTGTGCATGTGTGTGTGTGGGCACGTGTGTGCGGGCACATGTGCATGTGTGTGCGCACATGTGCGTGTGTGCGCACACACACACATGAGCAGAGAACCACCAGGCAGAACAACGGGCGTGTGGTGTCCCGAGCTCACTTGGGCTGCGAAGTCACCCTCCCAGAGCCAGGCTGGGAGACTCCAATCGGGCGCGGGGGGCAGCGGACGTGCAGGCCTTGCCGTCGCCGTGGGGAATCACTAACCCGCCTAACAAGGCTTAACAGCAACACCCAAAGGACCAAACCACGTCTAAGTAACCGCCCCCGGAACATAAGAACAAAAACAGCCCCAACAAGGTCAAAGGCACACGGGCCGGCCCCTGCTCGCGGTCACCAGGCACCCGAGACCAATCCATCGCGGCCGGCCCGAGACGCCGCGGCTGAAGAGCCAGGAGACCAGGCTGTTGGCGGGGGATGACCGATCCAAGAGGAAAGACTGGCCGTGGCGAGTGGATCCACGGAAGGCGTGAAAGCCGCATCCGTGGACAGTCCGCGCAGGGTAGGCGGCAGAGCAGGCCGGGACAGGCGCAGGGACACGCAGACAGAACCACGGCGACCACGCAGACCACGGAGAGCCCAGCGTCTTGAGCTGCGAGTCGGCTTCCGGCCACCAAGGGCCGTGAGACCTGAGGCTCCAATGCGGTGGGGGGCAGAGGAGGCAAGAAAAGCGATCAAGAAAATAACCAAAATACGTTCACATTTGATGAAAACCATAAGCCTACAGACGCGCGACAAGCCCCAAGCACACGAAGCGAGAAGGCAAGAACACTGGGCCCGGAATGAAGAGGATCCCTGGACGGCGGGAACGCGGGGTCCACCCCCACCCCGCCCTGGGTCCTTGCCCCCCAGCCGTGGACTCCAGAGTAGGCTGCCAGCCAAGGGGCCCCTGCCCGGAGGCTGCACCCCGGGCTGCACACAGCAGAGCCCAACCAGTGTTCCTGGGTCACCCTGCCGCCCGGGGCTCCCGGGCGCCAGGCCCAGCCCGCGGGTCTCGGGAACAGCAGCCCGGCGCCTCTGGCGTCTCCTCCGCCAAGTCGCCGCTCTGGCTCGGCCCTGCCCGCTGCTCGCAGCCCAGGGGCTCTGTAAAAACGCCCCGGCCCCTCGTAACCGGCTGCCGCTCCTGCAGCCGGCAGCCTGGCCGCCTCCGGTTATTCTTAGCGCTCAATTATTTATCTGCCTCCCTCCTCCCCGCACTTCGGAACCCTTCACGTGGCCCCGGGGGCCACGCCCAGGAGTTTCCCCCACCAGGAATGAAGTAATTTTAAAACCTTTTGTCTTTAAATTTTTATCACCCCAACTATGCATGTGGTATTTAAGCTTGGCAAGGGGTCGGAACCTGGCCGGTCGCCGAGCCGTCGGGGAGCCCCACGCTCCCCGCCTCTGATGACAGGAAACCGCCGGCCACACAGGGCAGGGTGGGGGTGCCTTCGGGGGGGGGTAATTCAGGCGAAGCCAGCCTGTCCCACCTGGGGCCTCTGTGCCACCCAGAAACACGTCTGGACCCCAGAGGATCAGGGTCCGTCCACGTCATGCCTCTTCCCCAGGGCGTGTGCCAAGGCCCCGCAGGGGCTCGGGGACACATGACCTCACCAGGGACACAGCCAGTTCTCCAGGGCAGGGGACGCTCCCTGGGGGCAGGCGGGTGGGCCCGTCACTCACTGCAGAGAGGAAGGTTGTCTAGGTGGTGGCCCCCGACACCCTCTGGTCCGGACAGAGATGCTGAGCCGGGTCCAGGGTCAGGGGCCTGGCCCTGGGGACCCCGCCCATCTTCACCTGCTGCCTTTTCTTTCCGGATTCACGAGGTGACAGTGACCTCTAGTTCCCAGGAGGGGGCACAGTGCCCTGCGACCCTGCTCCCGCAGAGCCCAATGCTCCGGAAAGTAAAGGTGGCCTCAGCTGCTCTCCGGACGGCCCTGCTCGGGCCTCCGCACCTTGGCAGCTCACAGCAGCGCCGGCCCAGCTCTGTCTGCGCCGTGTTCGGGTTCAGACAGCGAGATAGCGAGGCTGGAGGGCAGAAAGCAGGTCCCAGCCGCGTGGCCTTCTCCTCCAGGGACCGGATGGTCACACCTGTGCCCTCGGCTGTCCGCCAGCCCTGTGTGGGGGGGGTGCCGCACCCATGGGGCCTGGGGGTGCATCTCTGTCTTCCCTCTCTTCTCCCTCAGGTCTGGCCGGGCGGCCGAGACAGAGCCAGGGACAGAGGCCTTTCCAGGTAGGTGGACAGTGGCGGACACCACCGAGTGGGCCGTCGAGCTGTCAGATCCAAAGGGATCCTCATGTCCCCTCCAGAAGGCGGGCGCTTGCTCCCTTCCTCAACGTGGCCTCGGGTCGGGGGCGGGCACCCCGCCTGCCCAGCCTGGCCGGTCCCCAGCACAAGCTCTCTGGGCAGCCCCAGCGGCAGAACTGCGGGGCCCTGGGCAGGTGGAGGGGGTATGGACTGGCCCAGGGCCCTCCCCCGGGCCTGGCCCCTCAGAAGGGCTGCGGGCGATGGGGTGTCCAGTGGGGGGTGCACGCCAGCCCTGAGGGCCTCTCTGTGCCCTCAGCCAAGGTGAACGTCCCTGGCTCCTGGCTCCAGAGTGGCCATCAGAGGGCCGGCAGCCTCCAGGTCCAGGCCCCTTCCCACCCCTCCCGCCGCGGTCAGCCAAGCCCAGGTCCTGGTGCAGGGAGAGGGGGCCGGGCTGGGCAGTACCCGCCTCCTGCCCACGTGGTCTGCTGACCAGCCAGCAGGGCTGGTACCATGGTCACCCCTTTCAGGACCCCTTGTGTGGCTGAAGAGGTGGTACGGGTAGGGGGAGGGGACGGCCCCCCTGTGCTAGTTGGGAGGGGCCGGGGGGGGTCTCCTGAACTTTGCAGGGTCCCGAGGAGAAGCCAGTGGGTGACGGGTCCCCAAGGTGCAGGCGGGGCTCAGTGGGGACGCGGGGAGCAGGGCAGTCGGGGCTGGGCCTCGGGTGGTTTCTGAGGCCAGCAAGGTGGCCCCAGCCAGACTTTCCCACCGGCCAGGAGGCCTCAGGACGAGGTCAGATGAGGGCTGGGGCTGGCTCTGTGGCCGCTGCTCGCGAGACTCCGCTCCGGCGGTGCCCTTGGCCGTGGCCAGTGTGGCTGTGTTCTCGGGAACACCTAGAGACCAGCGGCTTGGAAACACAGCGTTGCCATGTGCCGCGGTGCCTCCGGCGGGGGAACGGGCCCCTCCCAGGTGCCCCAGCCCCGGCCCCCAAACCATGATCTTCTTAAGGAACTGACCCAAGGCCAAGCCAGCTCCTGCCAGCCCGCCCGGGCCCCCCAGGAATGCGGCGTGCAGCCCCTGGCGGGCGAGGGTCACCGAGCGGCCTGTTTTCCAGGCGGGCGCTGGAATGTTCTCTGGTGCAGCCGACTCCCGCGCCCCTCTTCAGCTGCGGCTGCATTCCTGGGGTGAGCCCGGGCCAGCCGCGAGCTTTTTCCGCGCTCCGGTGCCAGCCCAGCGGCCCGGGGGAGGGAGAGGGCGGTTTCTATGGCAACCTCACTTTCTGTTATTTCTTATTTTCTTTTTTTATGGCTTCTCCAACTTCGAGGCTCTCCATACGGTTTACGGATTGCAAAGGGGAAAAGTGCTTTTCCTTCTCTCCCGGGTCCCCAGCAGAGTGGCCCCCGCCCTGTGGGCCCCCAGGACCCCAACCCCTCCCACAGCAGGGCAGGCGGGGGGGGGGGCCTTCAAACTGGACAACCAGGTCCTCAGAGCCTTCACGACGTGAGAAAACGTTTTAGAGGAAATGAATTATTTTTCTCCTAAAAGATGGGAGTGTTTTCGAAAGAATCCCAGACCCGGCCACGTGGCTGCTTAGCTAGAAGGGGGCTCTCTGCCGCCAAGGGCCCAAGGCTGTAGCTGGGCCTGTGTCCTGATCCACTTGCCCCAAATCCATGTGCCCCCCAGCTTGTGCCCCCAGGAGCTGGGCAGAGGCAGCCGGTCCGGCCTAGGGGGAGGGGCGGAGAGCACCTGAAGGCGTGGGGTGCCCGGCAGGCTGAGGCTGCGGGCTGTCCCGTCCGAGCAGGGCTGTCTCTTGCAGGCGAGTATGTCATCATGATCCAAGATGTGACCACCCCTCCGTTCATGGGCCGCTCACTGCCCACCGCCTTCAAACGCCTCGTGGTCTGTGACGCGGCTGGCCAGCAGCACGTCCCTGGACACAGCCCCGGGGCCCGGGGCCAGGGGCCGCCTCCGTGCACCCGAGGGCCACCGGACCCTGGGACAGGTGACCCTCCAGACACCGCCTCATTTTGAAAGGATGGAGATGCTGCCTGTTTCCTGTGTCTCCCTCCCCGGGGCCCAGAGAGCCCCCCACGCACCCCAGAGCTGCTGGCTTTAGTAAAGTGTCCAACCCTGACGACTGCGCCAAGAGTACCCAGATGGCACAGCCCCTCCCCCACCCACACCCACAGGTGGCTCCGCGGGGCGTCTCCGGGCACACCTCAGGCGGGCGCCTGCCCCCCACCCTCTCCCCAGTCCTGCGCTGAAGCCGGCCCAGCTGACCCCTCGGCCCCCCTCCAAGACCCCCGCCTTGGGGCCCATTGCGGCCTGGAAACCGGAACCAGCCCCCCAACAGAACCGAGGGGCAGCGAGCAGGGGGCTGGCTTTCTGGGAACCGGCTGCACATCTGAGCGACTGCTCAGCTTCCGGGCTCCCATAGCTGCCTCCAAGACGCACCCAGGCGAGCGAGGCTGGCGGGGTGCACATGGGGCAGCTGGGGGGCCAGACACGCGCAGCACAGAGGACTGGCTGTCACCGTCACCGGCCACCAGTGCTCAAGGGTTCTCATCCCGAGACCCGGATCCAAGCCCCGCCTGGTCCCTGGCCTCCCTCGCCCCCCCCCCCCCCATCCTCTCAGCCAGCTGCCTGTCTCCTGCTCCACAGATGCCTGGGAACAGGGAGGGTCACCAGAGCCCCGGCCCCCTCAGCACAGTCACCTCTGGGCCCCTCTACCCCAAATCTCCTTGTGGCTCCAGAGACCACGCGGCCATGGCAACCCCGCCCAGCATTGGGGCTGGGCTGGTCCCCACCTCCCCAGGGTGCTCACCCACCTCCTGGTCCTCTGCAGCCCAGGCCTCTCCCCAGCTCCAGGCCCGGGTGCCGTGGTGAGGGTGCAGCCTCCCTGGGGCACCGAAGGCAGGCAGCCCAAACACGCCCCAAACTCAGTTCCTGCCCGTCCCCAGACCAGTTCAGGCCCCAGTGGTTGGCACCTGTCTGTGCCCCACCGCAAGCCTGGTCCTGCAAAGCTCACCCCCAGCCCGACCGCATCTCCACACACACCTCACCACCCTGACCGTCATTACCAGGACCTCGAGGCCCCCAGAGCCGGACCCGCTCCTGCCCTCATCCCGCTGCTCCCTCCCCCCCTGCCGGCCTCACGCCCCTCCGCCGGGTCTCCTCCTGAGAGGCCCACCCCTGCGACACCGCCTCCGCCCTCCTGGGTCCACTTCCTTCCCTGCACCCACGCACTCGCGGCTGGTCCCGGTGGGGGGCTCCTGAAGCGGGCGTTCAGGCGGCCTGTCCCGGGGGTGCAGCCTCAGCGTGTGGGCCACAGGAGGGCCGAGGGCCACCGCTGGTCGGCGTGGGTTTGGGCACCCACTCGAGGCCGGGGAGGGGAGGCAGGAAGGACGGACGGATGGCGGGCCGGAGGGATGGGGATGGGCGGGTGAGCAGAGGGAAGGAGGAGGGTGGGGTGGGCGGGCAGACGGGTGGTGGGTAGGAGGATGGGTGACCTGGGTGGACAGACAGATGGACAGATGGATGAGGGTCGGTGATGGATGTGAACGGAGGTTCGTCTGTCTTCAGAAGGTGGGTCCACGTGAAATAACTGCTCACTTGGAAGGCAAGAAGCAAGAAGCAGCACAGAGAACAGGCCCCAACACCAGGGAGCCCTCCCCAACGTGCCCCGGCAGCCACCCCATCCCTTCACCCTGTTCTTCTCAGTAGGTTCCCACCCCACTATCCCTTAACGCCCATCGGCAATGGGTGGACGGGGCCACCAGGACGGAGCTGACCCCCTGCAGGACCCGGGGAGCCGAGCCCTGGGCCAGCGTGGGCGAGACCCAGGCTTCCTGGCGCTGTGGGGGCCAATGAGATGCTGAGATGGGCTTCGTCCACTGCCCTGGGGACAGGGGCTGCCCAGTGAGGCCCGGGGGAGCTCAGACCCCAGGGGTTGTGTTTGGGCAGGATAGGGTCCGGGGGTGAAGGATGCTGTCCCCTGCCCCACCAGCTGCCCAGCCTCTGCCAGGCCCTGAGCGGTGAAGGGGTGGGTGGGTGAGGGGCTGGGGGCTCCCTGGCCAGCACATCTCAGCTGACGGGCAGCAGGCCTTCCAGGGGCCACAGCGCCGTCCGCTGCAGGTGTGGGGTGCCGGGCAGGTCAGGCCTGAGGCAGCAGCTCCCACTCCCACCGGGCCCCCAAGCTTCACACTGTGCCCCCACTGGCAAATCCATACACTTTCTGATTTTGAGAATTCTCGTAAGTTTATTTGAGCCAAACTGACGACATACGGGAAAGTAAGTTGTCAGATGCTGCCCAGACAAAATTTGAATTCTTCTTTTTTTCATCCTCGCCCCTGGACATGTTTTTTTTACATTAATTTTAGAGAGAAGGGGCCCCGGCCGGTTTGGCTCAGCAGTTAGAGCGTCAGCCCGCGGACCAACGAGTCGGTCCTGAGTTGGATTCGGGTCAAGGGCACGCACCTTGGTTGCAGCTCGTCCCGGCCGTGGTTGGTCGTGTGGGAGGCAGCCACTCGATGTGTCCCTTTCGCGTCGATGCTCCTCTCTCTCTCTCCCTCCCGCTCTAACTGAACAAAAATTTTAAAAAAGAGTGTCCTTGGGTGAGGATAAAAATATTTAAAAATGAAAGAAAGGAGAGAGAGGGAGGGAGAGAGAGAGGAACATTAAACAATCACCTCCAACACAACCCTGACCAGGGACCCAGGAATCGAACCCACAACCTTTTGGTGTACAGGACAACACTCCAACCAACCGAGCCATCTGACCAGGACACTGAATTCTTTAAAAAAGAGAAAAGCACGGAGGGTCCGCAGAGGCCTGAGTGGCCCTGGACACTGGCCTGGCAGGCGTCTGGCCGGGAAGAGCAGGGCAGCAGGCCAGGCCACGACCCCACCTGCAAACAGTGTCCCCCGCTTGGCCCCCAGGGGCCCCCACAGCTCCCAGTCCCTCCGCCCTGGCTTCTGGGTGCCCCACCCCAGAGACAGCAGGGCCCAACCCCAGTCCCCATGGCCGGCAGGCCGCCCAGATCCCAGACAGGCTGAGGGCAGACCCACCTCTCTGGTGCCGCCAGCGTCTGGGGCACAGCAGTGAGGAACGGCGCCCGGTCCCAGAGAAGCCCTCACTGTTGAGGGGGGCGCAGAGCCTGGACTGGGGTGACAGCAGGCAGAAGGGCTGTCACCAGTTTCCTTCTGGAACTCTGAGCCCCTGCCCCCACCCACTCTGGCAGGTGCTGGATGGGGAGGGAATGACCTTGACTTGGCCGCTGCCCCCAGAACCAGGGCCGGGCAGCTCAGTGCCGCCGGCCCTCCCCCAGGCTGGCAGGGGCTCCAACAGGCCGCCCTCTGGCCTGGAGACCCCCAGGCCTTCTCCTCAGAGGGCGGCCTCCTGGGGTCTCTGGGAACCAGCGGCCAGTAGGCCAGGTGGAGGTACAGGCCCCCATCCTGAGGCCCCAAAGCCACCCTCCCCCCACAAATCTTATACCCCAGGAAGCTGCGCGGCCCCCAGGAGCTCAGGACGGGGCTCCAGCCCTGGCAGAGTCACAGCATTTCTCCCTGTGGGCCCTCCACCTGCTCTCTGACCTCTGACGGCAGCCACTGGCCCAGACGGTCACTGGACAGTCCACTGGCTCAGCGGACATTTACTAAGTGAAATCCACACTAGAGCACCTGGCAGGCCTGCCCTGAAGAGAGACATCCTCACTCCTCATTCTGAGTCCGAGGGCCAGAGACAGAGACAGACAGAGAGTGTGGGAGGTGGCACCACCTGCCCCTCAGCCCGGCCCTCCTCCCAGCAGGGCCTGGGCCTTGGCAGCACAGCCTCTCAGACCACCCAGTGGCCGGCCCTGCGGACAGCACAGCGCAGAGCCCCCCACCAGCCTGCTGACACCGGCAGCCCCTCCCCGCCTCCTCCCTCACTGGCTGTGAGCACCCAGGGGCCTCCCCAGGGAGCCTCCCGCCCCCACAGCCTGGACAGGCTGCCTGATCTCTGTGCCAGGAGGGGGATAGGGACAGTGGTGCGGAGCACCCCCCAGGCAGGGCTTCCTAGAGGTGCCCTGGTGCCCGGCCTGCCAGACGGGTTCCTGTTGGTCCTGGCCCCCGCCAGCTCACGGCCCTCGCACATGGGAGCCCTCAGTCCTGGGCGAGGGTCAGCGAGTCGCTGGCCTGTTTCAGCAAGACCACCGTGGGCTGACAGCTCAGCACCAGTTAGAGACACAGCTGCCTGGGGTCCTCCTCTTCCTGCCCCTGCCCCCTCAGAGCAGGGCCAGCCACTGGAGCCAGCCAGGGCCTCTCTGATGGAAGACCGAGCCTGGGCAGTCACAGGGGACCCCGAGAGCTAGGTCGGGGCCTGAGCCGGTGGGGAAGGCTGCCTGGGGCCCCTGCCCATCGGCCCCGAGGAGCCCAGGGCCCTGTAGCCCCAGGCCCAGGAGTGCTTCGGTCCCTCGGCAAGCATGGGAGTGGCCGGGGCGGGACCGGGTCAGGCAATGACCCGTGATGCAGCTCTTGGCTGGAGGCCCTCGGCCCAGAGGAGCAGGCAGGCCACCCCACTGCCATGGACAGGGGCATTTTCCGACGGACACTATACAGGGTTGTGATTGTCCAGCCAGGACCTGCCGGATGTGCAGGGTTGTGACTGTCCGGCCAGGACCTGCCGGATGTGCAGGGCTCAGCCACAGGCCAGCCCTCCCCAGGGCTGTGTCTCCAGGACAGTGACTCCCCAAAACTCGGGATACCCCTCCTCCCGGTAACTCCTCAGCCACCCACACCCCACAACCAGAGACAGAGGAACCAGGACAGGGTACCCTACACATGCTGCTCCAGGGACCAGCAGGGTAGATCCCAGTCTATGGGCCCATCTCCTAGCAGCCTGGGGGGAGGGGTGCTACCCACCCCCACCCCCTCAACCCTCCTTGGCCCTCCCACACACAGGTGCCACCAAAGGCCACGGCAGCCACAGGGGCCCCTGTACAGGCCCAGGAGGCGCTGGCCCTCCAGGGAGTCCCCATCCCAGCTGCAGCCCTA